ACTGGAAGTTTTTGCTGTTATTTCACGTTTACTTTACTAATTATTGCATAATTGCCCCAGTTTTTAGAAATTGTCCTATTTTTACAGAGATTCATCATGATATTCCTCTAACATTTCTCAGAACAACATTTTTCCTCCCCTGTTTTCCATGATATGTACAGGAGTACAGTTTGGGATAAGTTGCAGTTTCCAGAGGATTTGCTAAAGAGTTTCCCTGAAAGGAAGCAAGATGGAAGCTCTGCTGGGACAGAAATTGCATGAAGTACACACCTGCCATTTGTGGTTTTGCCCTAACCAGTATTCACCCAAAAGACAGCATAGCAATGCCTCCAAAATTTTTAACGGTAGGACTTTTGACTGTGCCACTAGGTATGACGATGTGAAGCAAAAAGTTGGGAATTATTTAATATGTTAACAAACTGAGAAAAGAATCCTTGAAAAATCAAGCTGAAAAATTAACTTTTTTTTTTTTTGCTTTTTTTTTTGTTGTTGCTGAGCACGAATATTTCACCATAATTATCTGGATAATTGCCCTTGACTCTTTCACTCTATTCTTGTTTATATTTATTTTATTTTTCAGTACAATTCCAGAAATTAGTATAGCTTTATGATTGGCATTAATGCACATCAGTGTAGTCTATGGTTATGTTTTAAACTGTATGCTATCATCACCATAAGCTTCTATTCTGAATATTGGCCATATTATTTCAGTAAATGGAAGCATGATCAGAATTCAAACTGAACCACAAATAGCTACCATTTATTCAATGTTTTCTTTTTTATGAAAAAGCCACACAATAGAAGCAAACTGACAAGTTTTTGGGGGCAAATTCCAGGATAAGTTAGAGGATTATGGCAACATCTGACCACTCAGCTTTCTGCCCCTTCCAGAGCTTCGCTACTGTAAGTGGTAATCAGTGTCCACTATGATAAGACAAAGACCATACAAGGTAGTCAGTGCTTTCTGGACTGCCATCATACTAACAATCATTTTGGCTCTAACTGTGTTTGTTTTTGAATGAGCATTAACTAGACTCTGAATAAATGGTTGCTATACTAAAGTTCAGAGATTTACTGAGAATTACTGTTTCTAATGACTATTAACCATATTCCAGAGAAATGGTTGTTTGCTGTACTAAAGTATAGCGAACTACCTACTTCTAATGAGATCTAGAGAAGTAAAATACGACTTGCAGGCTCACAACTTGCAGGTGAACTCTCACACTTCCTATCATCACTATGTTTCAGGTGACAGAATTTCACTCATATTATTGAATATTTCCAATAATTATGTGACAGTGGATTTCAGTTTCTTAGATACCTGCTTGCGTGCTCTAGGACCTAGAATGCCATGTACTTTCTTTCCAAGCTTCGATTCCTCAAGGAGTGTTATCTCTGCTAGCTTTATGGCACATTATCCTCACAGTCTGTGGATAAGATTGTGTGGACCATTTGAAGGTATTTGCTGAGTCCTAAGCAGATCACTATCATTTAGGAAGGAAAAGAGCATGCAATGCATGGAGGATGAAGGCCTCCTCATGATGCAGTGTAACAGTGAAATCATTTTTAATTCCATGGCATTTACTTTTGTTATCAGAAATTATGTAAGGCAATCTAAAAGGAGATAAAATTGTATGAAATTTTTCCAAGGTACAGCTCAATAAATGTACCAGGCCATCTAAGCCTGCCCTATTCTTTTTTGAAAGAACCACAGACCACACTGAAAGTCATTTTGACCTTTGAGTATTTCCATTTGTTTTACATTTGTTAGAAAGTGGGTACACTATAAATATTATGATTTACATTAGTTCTTTTAATGATGCCATGTCTCTCAAAAAGGCTTTGGAAATCGTCCAATTTTTTGCCATAACCTAAAAATAACCTGCACTATATTGCAACAGAAACAGACACTATTTTATTTATAGTCACTGTCTCACAAAATTTTACTGTTTTCAGTGTCCTGCAGAGCACAGAAAACTCACCTACAAATTTGATACAGGAGAAAGCATATACCAAATAACTCTCTACTCAGAATTCTTTTTATACAAATGCATAACCCAATTCAACTCAAATAATTATTGAGCATCTACTCTAGTTCAAGTGCTATAATAAATATAATAACATGACATCGTCTTTGGTTAGATCAATTCTGTTGGGGGTCTTTACAATTTTTTTCAAAATTCATAAAATCTTGTTTTTCCTTTTGTAATTGGAAAGTTGCAGATAATCTGTTTTCCAAAAACAAAAAATGGAAGCATTTTCTTCTGCTTCATTTCTGGAATTTACCTATGTAGTCATCTACACTTCTCACACACTGTTTCTTTAAAACAGGCTACTTTTTAAGAAAGTTGTTGAAAGCCAGGTGATTCACTTAACAACTCAAAGAATATTGTCAGGATTATTTTCAGACATTCAGTCTTCTGGAGAAATCTAGGTAGCACTGGACTGGTGGGATCAGGGCCAGGAAGTTGAGAACATCTGACTCACAGAACAGGGGAGGGATGAGGGACAAGAGGACCTAGCAAGTGCCATATGCACCTAAGTAAGAGAGCAATAATAGTAACATAAACATCTAGGGAAAGAGGCAGACTTCTGTAGGAGTCAAGGAGCCCTTGGGGTAGAGGAAGGGCATTTGGGCTGAGAAGGGTTGGTAACATCCTGGCATGAATAAAAAGGCAGCTGTGATTTGAGTTTTAGAGCAGGAGCCAAGGAAGTTTTTATGCACATGCTCTAGTGATAAAGGTTTATAGAAGGTGCCAAGAGGACCGATCTGTTTGTCACTAATCCCTGTCATTAGGTTATATAGATTTGGGATAAAGGGGAGGTGGGGAGGAAGAGAAAATTATTTTTTTTAATATACTTAACTGAAATTTTGTCTAAGTTCTAATCACTTGTATACCTTTTTGCCTTGATGTGCTATAACTTCTTGATTATACCTGTTTATTTCCAACCATAGAAATAGAATTCATAATTATAAGTCTAGACATCTTGACAGGATATTTCTACAGAACACAGCTTCTCATTTTGTTCTAATATACAACATTCTAATATTTAAGATTATGTGTAAGTTTAATACAATGTAATTCTATATACCAATTATTAACTCCCTTTCCATTGTAGATTTCCAGAGGAAGTAGATTTGATTACTAGTTACCTGCTCTGTATATGGAAGCATGAGATAGACAACTTTAAAACAGCGGGTCTTTAATAAATTCAGAATTATTACCTTCTCATATATATGAAAACTATAAGTGACTTCATCTTAATTAGGTTTACAAGTTATTATGAATATTATGAATATTAGTGCACTTATAGAAATAAATGAAAATAGGTCTGATGTATATGTATGCCTCTCTGAATGCAATCTGCCTCCATAATGATATCTCTAACAGACTTCAAGATTTATATAAATACAAAATTTCCATAGTTTCCATTTCAATATAGCTCAATTAACAAAGTTCCAATCTGACATATGGAATATTAGTTTTTTCCTTGAGTAAAATTTTTCAGTTTTGTTATTCACAGTCATTGGTTAGCATGACCCTACAATTTACTTTTATAATAAAAAAAACATTTTTAAACAAAAATTGCGGTCAATGAATAAAATATCATAATTCATTAGAATTTTAAGCTACCTGATAAAAAGTAGAGTAAGATCTCTATTAACTGACCAAAGTAAGTAACAAAACTCCATTCTCTTTCAATAGCTAACTGTATGAGTTTCTTAGCTTTATGAATCTTCAGGTAGTAGTCTGTCTTTCTATTTACCTTAAAAAAATCAGAGTGTTTCTCAACCTAGAATTACAGGGAAAAATAAAACAGAATAAATTGAGAGAAAAAAATTAAAAATATTAATTTGCATTCCAAGATACCAAGACTCAGAAACCTATCTGGAAATCTCTAAGACTTACAAGACCTCTCAGTAACTGTAAATGTCTGTACAATGGCTCCAGAGATTATTTAAACTAACTAGATGCATTGAAAGTCACCATTCACAGAACTAAAAATACACCAATTTTTTAACAAGCAGCTTCTTATGATTCATAGCTCTGGTAGCATTTTTAAGTCTCATGAAATATATTTAACTTTGAACTTAACTGAAACTACCTTACACAAGAGCCTTTTATAATTTCTCACGTCTTTCAGTCTGAAAAATCAGTTCCAATTGAGGATAGAGAAGTGTCATTGTCTACGTTTTTCTATAATAATGTAGATTAAAAGAATATTATTTCTCCTGTATTAAATAGCATATGAGCTCAAAAAGTCCACCAACTGACACATCTGAACATTTTCCACTTCCTTCCGAAAGATGAAAAACGACATCAGACAGAAAACAGATTCTTTAGATTAGTGGCAGGTGTAGAACACATACACCAGTCAGTGTACATTTTCAGTGTCGACAGGCATGCTCAGTGACAGAGGGTGCAACTCTCCCTTCACTGAAGGGACACACATCATATTATTCCTTCTTCTACACATCACCAAGCAGAGAAGTTCCCAAGCAACAAAACTACCTGCTTTTGGTCGAGCACCAGGCTACTCTTAAAAGACAAAAAAGTCAGTACCAAAGAGAGGATGATGACGATGATGATGGTGGCCATGATGATGGGTCTAGTTTAAGAAATTTTTTAGGAAGAAGGAGGAAAAGTTGTCCCCATTTTCATACTGGTTTAGCCCAATAAACTTACTCAGAAGGTGAAAGATTTAGAAGCTTTATTTACAAGTTAAGTAATTTAGATCTCGGTGCAATAATATGGTTAAGGTAGAACCTTAAAGCTGCAGTAGTAACTGGGTGTTACTGAAGTAAGTTTTCAAAGTAAAAATACAAGCCCTCCTCTCTTCCCGGAGTGCCCACCAAAAACTCATCTCCTAATTTATTTCTCTTTTCTCCAAGCCAAATAAACAAAAATATCAAATCTACAAAATCATGACACTACTTGGGGTAAATTCTGGAAAATGGGAGAGTTAAAGGAGAATACAAGTTTGGATTTCAGATTTACCTGCTCTGATCCCAATTGGCAGCAAAAAGGACTAGAATCTTCCTGCCATAGTGGTCCAGATTGGCCAGGCCCCCCGGGAAGCCATCCTTCAGTGCCTGCTTGATCCCAGGGTCGGTGGCCTTGAAGCTTTTGAACATGTCCAGGTTCTGCTGCCGGTACTCAAAGTACTGCGCCAGGAGGCGGAAGGCCTCAAAGTGATGAAACTTCCTAGCCCGCAAGAAGCGTAAGATGAAAGCATCATCCGTGCGCAGAAAGCCAATGTCCGGCCTGGTGATGACCATATCCCTCACCTCCTGGATGTCCTGGTGAAGCGTGTCTGGGTTTTCATTGAGCTCCAAGCGAGCTTTCTCCAGGGTCTCAGGGGAGAGACCAGCTTGCAAATGAGTCATTGTTCTGCCTGTTCTGGAGCCTTCACTCAGAAGCCCTAGTTGACTGTCCCAAAGCAAATCTGGCCTTTACCACCGCCACACTCCAGCCCCCAGACCTCCTGCTGCCTGCTTCCTCTCCCCTACAGGAAATTAATAGTCTTGGTGTCCAATCAAGTGCCCTGTTGCTCCTGCTTCCCCCCAGCTTTACCCGGAGAGGGGATATAAACTTCTTCTCCCGCCCCTAAAATACAACACCTCACTTTGGCTCCCTCTTCCCTTTTCTTTAAAGAGATGGGAACCCTGAAGGGATCCGCACTCCTCTTCTTGTCCTTTCTCTCTCCTAACAAATCACCCCTAATCCCACCTGGCACGGGTGGTTCCGATCTTGGTACTGTCCTCTTCTTTTCTCTTCCAAGATGTAACAAAAACAACCCCCACGCACATCTCAGCCCCTGCACTGTGAATGTTCCTGCGGTCCCTACTGAAGGATATGCCTACCAGGGGTGGCGATGGAAATTCTGATTAATAATAAGGTAGCTCTTCAGCGCTGAGCTCCAGGGTGGAGAGAGATCATCTTTGCCAGAAAGAAAAAGAGAGAGAAAGAGGGGGGAGAAAGATTATTTCTCCCTCTACTTATTCAAAGACGCTATTTTTAAAAGGCATATTTGTGGGATTTATTTCAGATTATTGCGATCCAATTAGGTGGAGACTCTGCAGATAGCGCACCTTCCCACCTCCCCTCTGAGATACATCGTGATCTCATAAGGCACCAGTAGGGGTTCTGGTGGCGTTGGTACCAGCGTGGGCTCCCCCAACCCCACCCCCAACTTCTGCCTTCCTCTAGCCCTTCATTTCCACGGACTTGCCGCGGGGTGGGGGAAAAGGGGGGAGGGGGAGGTAGAGGATCGGGGATCTCTCTGGGAACGCACATTTCAAAAACAAGAAGGGGAGGGCGTTGTGGAGAATAAAATAAAAATGTCCTTATCTTTTCTATAAAACCCCAAAGCAAGAAAGAAGAGCAGCCGCTCCTACCAGCAAACCCGGAGGCGGGGTCGCTAAGCAATGCGACACTCCCAGGCATCCATCAGCCGCGGCTTCACAGCGGCGGCGGCGGCGGCGTCAGCGGCATCAACTCCTCTGGGCGGGATGGAAGGAGCAGAGAAGAGGGGCGGCGGCGGGGACCCGGGCCGAAGATGCGCTCGGGAGCGGCCGCGGCCACATCCTCCGCGGGCAGCCCGCCGCCTCTCCCAGCAGGAGGGGTGGGGATCACAGCGCTAGAGCAACCGCTGTCCCAGGTCCTCGCCTGGCCCTGCCATTTCTGCCTTCGGGAGAGAAGGTGGGGAGCGGGACCCGAACGCCTGGATGGAGAAGGCCACTCGGTCGGCCACCGCCTTTGTGCGCCCTCCGGAGCAGTCGGGGTGGTGGGCGCAGCGGGGCGGCTGCTGCGCCGCGCGGGCCTCTCCAGGGGGCTCTCCCGAGCGGTCCGAGTCAGGTGCGCCCCTCCGGGCTGCTGCGGCGGGTCCGGCTGCTGCTGCTAAAAGAGGACTCGGCTCAGCCCAACTCCTCTCTAATTATCCCAGCACAGATCTCGCTGCGACGTAAGCACTCACTCAGCTCGCGCGCGCACTACGCTCCTCTCTCTGCCTCGCTGGGGTAGGACAGCAATTTGCGTGGCCTGGAAATATCCCGAGCTCCAAGTTTAGCGTGCTCCTAGTCCCCACTCCCCAGCAGGCTGCGGAGCGGGCGTCGCCGCGCCAGGCGGGGCAGCTATGCTCTCCAGCCTCCGCACGCCCCTCTCTCACCCTTTGTGTGCAAGACCCTAGAGCGGCCAGGAGAGTAGCTGTTGCAGACGGTAATTCACATTGACATGCATCTTCTAGTTCCCGTAGGAGGCGATTTTGATGTAGAAGGAGTACGGAAACATTTTGTACTTTTTGCATTTGTTGTAGACACAGATATTTAATTTAGAAAAGACCAGAGTGGTTCCAAGGCAATGTGTTGATGATTAAGCCTCCGGAGGAACTTACATGAATAACAGTTTTTCAACCATACACTCTTCCTGTTGAAGAGGATGAAAATGAGCGCTGGGGCAAATAATAAAAAATAAACATAATTCTCAAAAAGAAAAAAAGGCACCTCACTCATATCTCATAATAAAGCAAGTATTTCTAGAAACACATACCATCCTTCCTTCAGTTGTATGCATCTGCATATCATTATAAATGAACAAGAGTCCTTGCCCTTAAGATGACTATGGATTTGTGGGAAAGGGATATTTTCTATTTCCAAAGCACAGCACGTATTACTGAGCATGTTACTAAGAGCAACTTTTGATTTACAAACTGTAGAATGTGGTCTTGAATTGAAGTTAACGTTAACTCAATGCAACTAATATTTACTGAGTTCCGCGAGGTGTGGGGCATTTTTCTGGATTCTGTGAATAGGAGGTGGTCTTGAAGATAAGCACATTTTGTCATGTTCTTAACTTGACATTTCTTATCTGCTCATTTTCAATTTTGATGACTATAAGAACCCTCAAAATACAGGCACACTTTTTGTTGTTATTCTAACAGCGATGGTGTTAACAAGAAGAAGGAAACGGGTTGTATGGCAGAACTAGAGCATTTATTAATTAAATTAATGCGAATTAACATGGGAACCAGAATAAGACAATAAATTACACACACACAGTCATTCTCAAGGAATATATGTTTTAAATGGGGAAGGCAGAAAACAAACCACTTAGGTGTGTATACATGTGTTAATATGTGTGTGTTATATATATGCACCTATATATAAGGTCCTTCTGGGATTTTAAGTGATTGACTCTCTCAAGCATTCCGAATGCAATGTAAATTTTTGGTTTTCATTTTAAATATTTTGAAAAAAAATTTTGTCTAGTATTTTATAGGTTGAAGAAAATTTATGGTTCATATCAACTGTATGAGGAGGTTTTAGTCATCACCACCATGGAGAGACAATTCTCCCTGGATCTGTTCTGTTTCTGCATGTCTTATGAGCAAGGCACTATAACTGCCCTTTTTTCTAGACTATCTTGTCAAGGGTATTTGTACAGTAAATAATCTTGGGAGATACTGGAAGATAGAGATAGTACCTCCATCTGAAACAAAGCCTTGAAAGCTCTCTCCTGACCAAAGGATAGGCAGGCTTATTTGAATTCCCTAAACTAGGAGCTACTCTACTGTAATGCCGCCTACTGTTTATGTCAGTATCACTTCTTAGCTCTGTAGGAATTAGAGCTCAGATGGCCAGTGCAAGCTATGCAGATGCTCATACTGCCCGCTATGCCTGAGTGACAAAACCCTTTATTTCTAAGCCAGGAGCTTTCCATGAAACTATTTCTAAGCCAGGAGTTTGCCATGAAACTATTTCTAAGCCAGGAGTTTGCCATGGAACTATAGCCAGCTAACTTGTTAGCCTGTAAATAGAGTTAAAACTCAGATATTTCACCTTGATGAAAAACCAATTGCTTGTTCCTTGGGATGGACATATTAGACTATATTTTTAAGGGAATTTATAAAATAAAATTTATTTTTCTGGCCCAGGGTATGATACAACCAATATTGAAGGATGGCATTTTTATTATTTATTATTTACCAATAATAGAATTGCTTCAAATAAATTTATTTTAACATATAAACATAAGATAGAAATAATCTCTATCACCCAGTAGGATTGTTGGAGTACATCAGTTAGGTATATATAAGATTTTTAAATCACATTTACAAACTAGTAGTGATTATACTATTATTCTTTCTCTACTTGTACATTTGAACACAGTTCTGAAAACAAAATAAATATACAAAGCCATCTAAAATTAAAATGTTTATTCAAATGACATCAGAGCATTTGATTTTCATTCAATATTAATTTACCTTGCCAAATTAATGCAAAGTAATGTAGGAACTGGAATATGAGAATAAATGAACTAAACAAAGGATTAATTAAAGCATTATTGGAAAAATAATTAAATCAAGGGCTTCAGGTGTTTTCAAGCAACTAGAAAGGAAAGCTTGGTTTACCACTAAATTTAAAACGAATAGAGTAAGTAGTTTACATTTTAAAATATTTTATTCCATTTATTATTAAATAAAATATATGTACAAAAAAGGGCACAATATAAAGATGTACAGCTCACTTCTGTATTACAAGCCAAACACACAAATAAGTGTCCAACCAGGTTAAGAAACTGAAAATTGTCAGCAGGCAGAAAGCACCCTCTCAGCCCCTCCTAACTACTGGCCTCTTTACAACAATGGAAACCACGCTATCTTTATTTTAAAAGTAATCCTTGTTTGTTTTCGTTAATTTTACCAACGAAACAACTACAATTTAGTTTTTCTGTTTCTGAACTTAAATGTAATCATTCACATATAATGGTATCATTGACCTCTTTTATTCAATATTATCTTTGTGTGATTCATCCATATTGTTGTATGTAGTTCTCTCATATTCAGTAATGATGCACAGAATTGCATTTTTATACACGTGCTACAATATGTGTATCCATTCGACTATGGAGGGAAATTTGGGTTGTTTTCAGTTTGGAACTCTTATGAATCATGATGTATGAGCATTCTGGTACATGTCTTTTGGTGCACATGGAAAGACCTAGGATTGAAAATTTCTGGGTCATATGTGATGTGCACCTCCAAATTTAGTAAATAATCCCAAACTGTTTCCCAAATGGTTGTTTCACCATCCTCCAGCAATACACGTGTGTCTACCATGCCATGTTCTCAGACACCTTATTATTGTCTATCATTTTAACTTTATCCATTCTGATTTTGAACCAGGGTATTATTGCATTATGGTTTTGGTATGCTTTTCCATCATTACTAATGAGGTTAAGTTTTCACATTGTTTTGGGCCATTGGTACATCTTTTGTTTGAAGCATCATTTCAGAGCTGTTGCTGATGTTTACAGTGGGGTATTGATTGCTTTAATATTGCATTGTAGAGCTTCTTTATAGATTCTGAATTTGAACCTTTGTCAGTTGCACATGTGAATATCTTCTCCCAGTCCATGGCTTTTTTTTTTTTTCACTCTCTTAGCCTTGTCTATTAAGAAACATAATTTTAAATATTTAAGTAACTCAGGTTTTCTCCTATGAACAGTACTTTTTGGGTCCTGCCTAGAGTATCCCATAATTATTTATTCTCCAGTATACCTTCTAGAAGTTTTATTGTTATTGCCTTTCACATTTAGACTTGCAATTCACAGGAACTGTGTTTTGTGCATAACATGAGAAAGAGATCAAGTCATTTTTTCTCTATATGAATAACCTGTTTACTCTGTACCATTTATGGAGACTATTTATTGAAAAGATCTTCTTTTTTCCCTACAGGACAGGGCAACCATTGTCACACAAAATAATTTTTCACATGTGAGTAGATTGTGATTCAATGTAAATTTTAAAACTCCACCTTTTTTTATACAACCAATATTCCTCAGTGGTTCCCAAAGTGTAGGTCCCAGACCAGCAGCACTAGTATTACCTAAGAACGTATTGGAAGTGTAAATTCCCATGCCTGACATACTGAATCAGAAATCCTCCCTAAGATGCAGGGACTAACAACGTCTCTGCGCAGCTCTTTGAGTGATTCTAATTTACACGAAAGAATAAATGCTTTAGATTTAACCCCACATGTATCCTTTTTACTCTTTATTCCTTCCTGTATCTCTGAGTTTCCATATGGTATTGATCTGTTTGTTTCTTCACTAGAACACATTGTAATGTGTCCTTTAATACAGATCTGAGGGTTATAAATTGTTTATTTGTCTGAAAGTCACTTTATTTTACTTTTACTCTAAAAAATATTTGTTAGATATAGAATTCTAAATTAGCAGTTATTTCCTTTTAATACTTTACATATTTTATTTCTATTTTTCCAGCTTGTCTTATTTCTGTAGTAAACTTAACTGTTAATTTTTTCATTGTTCTTTTCAAAGTAATAGCCATTTGTCTCTACCTGATTTATTTTTCTACTTATCTTTAATTTTCAGCAGTTTTACTCTATGCTTTTTATTACTTTATTCTTTTTCATTATTATACTTTAAGTTCTGGCATACCTATGCAGAATGTGCAGGTTTGGTTACATAGGTGTACACATGCCACGGTGGTTTGCTTCATCCATCAACCCATCATCTA